TCGGGCTTTCGTCGCCAAACACAATACTCCTGTGGTTCGTCACGCTCCGTACTCTCTCCACATGGCTCCGTGTGACCTTTGGCTATTTCCCAAGCTGAAAATGCCGCTAAAAGGAACCTGAATTTAGTCGAGAGAAGACATCATGCGGAATCCGACGGACTGGCTGATGGCCATTCCAAAAGATGCGTTCCAGCAGTGTTTCCAGCAATGGCAGGAATGCTGAGAGAAGTGTATACATTACCAAGGAGACTACTTTGAAGAGAATTAAGGTTTTGTACCTCAAAGTCAATAAATTTATTTTTGCCGACCAAAGGTCCGATACTTTTTGAACAGACCTTGTATAAGTTCTTAGTAGTTTGCAGTACCTACAATCTACTAAGATCATAAAACATGTCTATACAACAAAAAGATTGTCACCATTAGAGACATCATCAAAAATAGAAAAGAAAATATCCAGAATTCTAAACAAGTAAGCATATTCAAAATTCCTATTAACAATAAAAAATTAGACTATGAGATGGTGTATGTGAATGCATGGAGATTTGGACTGAAATATTTAAATGTGTAAGTTTGCCGATGTTAGGGGGTGCAGTTTATCTCGCATCAGAATGAGCCTAAGGGAAACAGCATATGTGGGTGGTGGCGAAGCAGGCTAGTGAAGAACAAGTGAAAACCTGTTTATTTGTTCGAATTCATGCTTACATCGATATTGGACAATTCCAAAATCTCGGTGTTCCTATGAAATGGTGAGAGTTCGGGTGATCAGTCGTAGCCCGGGCAGACGAGAAGGATCGCTGGACGATGCAGATGTTTGGTGTTAAGCTGCAGCGTCCTAGGTGATCAGCGGTAGCACATCACAATAGATAAAGCACAACTGTAGACTTAATCCATAGGAGACTCTTCTTCAACTTTGAAGTCCGATTTTTATAGTTTTTCCCCCACTATTTGCATTTCGGATTGGTCCCTTGTCCCATTCCTCGCTTTCCACGTTGGTCTCTCCTTTGTCCCCAGGTGCAAGACGAAATCTTTTCGGGTCGCGGGAAAGGTCCGATTCGAGGTGTCCATCTGATACCTCTTTGTCAACTCTGCTCGGTGACTGTTTATAAAACAATAACACCTGCACTCATAACTCAGACTGTTGTTTACCATTTTTTGACGTCTAAGAATTTAATGATCATTTTCATCTTTCATCTACCAAAAATTTCTCTTTTTTTGTTTGAAAAGGTTTATCTCAGCCAACATTTTATAGACACGCGAGTTAATGATTTACCTATTTATGAGCGCTCGTGTTAGAGTTTGTCTTCCGCTAAGACCTTGACAGATAGTTTGGCATATACTTGAATTGTTCCAAGTCTAGTTGTTTACATCTTGTGTCGTGCAAGAATTTCACGGTTTACTCAAGTTCAAACCTCGTCTGGGAACTCACAAATGTCAAAACCAGTAAATAAATAAAAATGTGATCAAATTATCTGAAGCAAAATCAGATTAAAAAATAGTCAACTTTTTAATAAATTCAGGGTTTTTATCTCAGAGTTACATAACTCTTAATAGCTTGTTCTTAAGGACTCAATCATCAATAGCTGTAAAAAATTTACATTCGATCTCCTGATAGTGACATTAGCTAGTTAACTTTTTTACTAGTTTTACATAATTCTATTTTAGCTACATTCTAATAATTGTAATTATCTTCTGTTAATTTATTTGCCATTTCTAATATAACATAGTTTATTTTAAAGCACTTCACTGATATGGTGTTTTTCAGTATTTACTCAAATGATAGGCACACTTTCCAAAAAATTATTATAAAATGTTGGAGTGCACAATTTATTCAAAACAAACTCAGTGACACAACCCATAAAGTTCATGGTGCTTCTGGTTACTAAGCATTTTGCTTACTTTGCTAGTGATAAATTTTCCTTATCAACTGAATGGCTTTGATATATTGATCCTCTATAGTTAATAATTATGAGCAATGTTATCAAACATTTTTGTATTACTAATTTTGGTGAAGATGATAAATTAAGTAAGTTAAATATATGATTGAGACTGACAGTAAATAACCTTTATTCTTACATTATCTTTTAGTTTAAGTTATTGGTCCATTAGTAGTTTTTCATCTTCAGATTTGAATTAAACAAAGTAAAGACGTCTTACTTTCATTAAGTTAATTCATTATAAAATACATTATTACAGATTGTAGATAATTTATATTTATTATATAAATAAATTATTTATTTTTTTCCTTGGTATTTTTATTTTTTTATATCATGTGGATTTGTAAATTGGACAATGCCAATATTGAATGCTACAAAACAGCAAGCAAGAACATTGCTATTTTATTACAGCCATAAATTAAAAAAATTTGTTAAATATGTAATAAATTAAATTGGTCAAATTTTTTCCTATTTTTAAAACCTGTATCTAAAAAATTGGAATATATGGATTACTTAGAAATGGGTTATTTGAGTAAGTACAGTATATTCATGTTTATTATTTTCAGCTCTTGCATTGCTTGTAAAACGGAAAAGTTATTAACATCTAAATTCTAATTATTATTAAGCTGTTACATGTTAGATTTTATGAAAAGAGTCATCATATATTCATCTTAGTTACATCCACGTTAATAAAATGTATTAAAAATGATCAAAATTAGTATTATACTCCTTCAGAGAATTATTTAAATAAAATAATATAAGATGACTAGAAACTCAAAAACTGATTTTATTTTTGTTTTTAATACAAGATTTTTTGGGTGCAGCATACTTCTAGCTATCTTTATGGTACTAATCTTTGTTGAAGACATATTTTACCAGCATCAACATAAATCATTCATTCTTAAATTTATTTTTTTACTTTAAATTATTATGCATTGCTGTTAAGAATATCTGGTTTAGTTGTCATGATTTCAGAATTTACATTCACAATATATGAGAGCAATATCAAATTGCAGGATAATATTGGAATATTGCCTTTATTTCTGGCAGTTTATCTAGTTGAGTCAAAATATTTTTCTACTACAAAAAAAATATCTTTTTTTATTGTACTCTAATAATTTTATTTCTTTTATTTTCAGAGAATATCCAGATTTTTACAAGAAACTCTATGCATTATTTGATGCTTCTGTTTTCTATTCGCAGTACAAAGCAAATTTTTTCTTTCTTGCTGATGTATTCTTAAGTTCAACGTAAGTATTCCCTTTGTAAAATTTTATTAGTTAAAATATTTAAAATTTCTAATTTTTTAATTATATATACAAAAGTAAAATGAATTTTTTTTCCTATTAACTAAATGATCAATATAATTAATAAACAGTACATGTGGTGTAAATGTTGCTTTAGTATTACTTCAAACACACATTTAGAACAACAGTTTGTTCTAAATGTGTTTTTGAAGTTAATGTCTATCTGAATTAAACTAGACAGAAAAAAGCATACCTACAATATCTTATGATACGTTTGTAAAGTTGTATGAGTTAAGCAAATTACTAACAAGACAATCAAAAAGTACTAGTTCTATCAGTTTGAATAGTCTATATCCATTGCATTTCAAATGATATACAGTACTAACAAAATTCATAAAGGAAAGATATTTCATATTGTGAAGAAAATAGTGTTTGGCGATAATGATATTTCACTCAAGTATACAAATTGTGGATTAAAAATCAAGTAGTGAGTTTCATAATTTTTCTCACTATTATGAGATCTTATTTAGAAAATAACTTATAATTTTAATTACAATATAACTTAATAAAATTGTGTGTGGCACCATCTGTTATGAGATTTTGTTATAACTTTTTTATTACTATAAAATGGCAAAATTAATTTTGAGGATATGGATGAGTTTTATAAAAAAGAATAAATGTTAATAATGAGTCAAATCATCATTAAGTCTGACTGCTGGAAGGTTGAGGGGGTAGTGAGATAAAGGAGGTCATTGTATACACATGACCTCCTCGCTCACCACCCTCGATCTTTAACCTCCAAAATTTAATAGCATTAATGTCCCTCATATACAAGCCATCATGCCAAATTTCGTTACTTAATCTTTACTCCATCCAGAGATATTAAGCAAAATAGTGCCCACACACACACACACATCCATGGAATTTTTTTTATTCAGGCGGTATCAAAATGTGGAGTTTTACAAAAAAAAAACTTTGAGGGTTAAGAAGTTATGTTAACACATCTAATTAATTTCACTCAGACAAACTCAGATCTTATTAAAACCTTATTAATGCAAATATGTTCAAAATCCAAATGCTAATTTTTATATGAATTGTTTATTAAAAGTGTATCATCTACTAGTATTATTAATGAAAAAATATAAAATCAGTCATTTAAATGCTGTTTTTAATCAATCATATCCAAAATAACATGTCAATCTGCTTTATATTAATTACAATCATAAAATAATTTCTAATTTAGTTATTATTGTTGATTCATTTTCTAATTTACCTGGATGAAAGAAAGAATGATGATAATTGTTTTGGTTACTATAATTAAAACAATAATTTTTAAAAATTTCAGTCACATTCCTGAATATCTGGTTGCTGCATTTATAAAACGTTTATCAAGATTATGCTTGATAATACCTGTTTCTTCATTATTTGTAGTCATACCTTTTATTCGTAATCTTTTGATTCGTCACCAATTACAGGTTTTAATCAATAATCCAAGTGATGTGGAAAGTAAGTAGAAAAAGTTTTTGATAACTGAAATAAATTTTATCATTTTAAATAAAAAAATCTGTACATATACATATATTATTTAGTTACTGATGATCCTTACATTATGGATGAACCTGATCCTCTAAAATGTAGAGCATTAGAAAGCTCATTATGGGAAATTAAAGTAAGGGGAAAAAAATTTAATAGCTATTGATATTATATTCTTGTGTACAGTATTTTATATACAGTTTTATATTTATTATTACAGACACTTCAGTCTCATTGGCACCCAGAAGTTGCTATTAAAGCCAGGTTTATAAATAAACCTCTTCCAAAAATGGAAAGTGATTTATCAGAATTTTATGAACTAGATTCACATGAGGTAATATTATTTTTTTATATTTTTATTTGAAAATTAAATGTAAGTAATTTGGTACTTGATTGCATCTTGTTCTCTTTGTTCTTTTTCTTCTTAGATCATTGAAAGTGAGCACAAAATTGCTGTAGAGAATTTATCATACAGGAATACTAGGTGATTGATTATACAGATTTTATTATCTAAAAAGAAAATGAATTTTAGCCTATTTGCCCTCGTCAATCCTTACTTTACCAGACATTTGACCAGTAATTTTGTGCTCACTTTCAACAGTAAGTAATCCTCTTTTTTTAATATTATTGCATTAAAAAATGGAATTTTTAGTTTTTTCATTATAATTTTTCTATTAATACACTACATTTTGATATGCCAAATAGATGAAAGTGCAAGTATTATGCTCTTTGGGCTGCAATTTGAAAAAATTGTAGACCTATAAATTCCCATTGATGTCCATTTGTATGTTTGTCTGTCCTTCCTTAATTTCAAGAATAGAGTTAGGCAGATGAAAGTTGGGACCAGGTATGGAAAGCTTAGAGTCGAGACCCCAATTAACTATATACAAACTTCTGGTTTGCACTCAAAGTCACATTATTTCAATTCAAAAATTTTTTCCTGAAAGGAATTAGATACAGAGGCAAGACACTACTAATTTGAGGTAGAGAGCATATATTTTAAATTAAACAAATTAAAAATATGATTAAAAATTGCAGAAATTGTGACAATGTCACAATAAATAATTGCTCATTACATGTTATAAATTATTATAACTCATCTGATAAAATTATTGTAACTGATACTGTAAAATTGCTGAGATGCTGCAAAACTTTAATATTAAAAATCTGTGAGGTTTTTTAATCATAATATACAGTAATTACAATTGTAATTTTCACATACATTATTTATGTTTGATGTTTAATTAAAAACATTAATATATTATATATAGAGGAATAGATTCTAATTACTAATTCCTTTTTACTTTAATTCTATTACATATACTGTAAATAATATAATCAAAGTTTTGTATAAGTCTAAATCATTAGCTAAACTTAAGTTTAAACTGCTGGATTATTTTCCAAGTTATATTAAAACTAATTTTAATTCTTTTATCATTTCTTTGGCTGTATTATTTTGCTCTCGCCAATTTATTTAGTTGTATTTATTTAGAATTATGGTACACACATGCACATATACAAACATATATATACAGTGGAACCTCGGTATACGACCTTAATCCGTTCCTGGTGTTTGGACTTATACCAAATAGGACGTATACCAAACCAACCTTTTCCATAAGAAATAATGTAAAAATGATTAATCCGTTCTCATGTAAAAAAAATGGCTGGCTTTAAACACCTCGCTTTCCTCGCTAGTTTCTGCTTGATTTTTCATGAGATCAGCATGTATCCTTTTAACTTTCTCGCAAATAATTTCTTCCGATACACTGTCGCCGGCACACTGTTTTTCTGTTATCCAAAGCAAAAGCAATTTCTCGACATGATCTAATGTCTTTGATCTCTGTTTAGAAATTGATTTAACCCCTTTCGCAACGTTAGCAAATTTAATAATGTCTTTATTTTTCACGATTGTCGATATCGTCGTTCTCGGAATACGGAATGCAACAGTTAAATCTCGTTAAATCTCGAACACGCGTGCTACCTTCATATTTCTCAGCAATCTCTTTTTTCAGTTCCGTTGTGATTCTAGTCATTTATTTTTTTTATTTTTCTGTTGCCCTTTTGCAATTCATGATTAATAAAAATAATAAAATGTTGCTTACAAATTAAAATCGGAAGAAATTTAACAAAGTTATAAACCGTAGCACCGCGAACGTCTACTCTAGTGTAGTACACCGATAGTGCTACTTGTTCATAGATGGCGCGTATAATTGAATTAAGTCGTATAACGAACAAAAGTCGTATACCGAGCAAAATTTGTTTCGTCCAAACAGGATGTATTCCGAATTGGACGTATTCTAAAGCAGACGTATACCGAGGTTCCACTGTATATGTAATATACAATGCCCTCCATATATTTATGATAAAATTATTCTCTGCTTTGCTTTCTCATAAAACCAATCTTATTCAAATTTGTGTAAGAATAATTTTACATTGATAATTCATAACATTATTTGTAAATGAAAGTTATTCCAAGAGAAATGATTTTATCACTAAGCAAGATGAATATATACTGAAAAGTAATTTAATTGTAATTTATTTTAAAATAATAAATTAAAGCACTAAGTATATTGTTTTAAAGCAGCAGTTTCAACTTGTCTTCTGAGGAACTTTAGTGTTCAATTATTAGAAATTTTTGATTCTGTGATAAAAAAATTTTTTGAGCATTAATTAATAGTTTGGAATTTGTACAGTATAAAAAAATGTATTCGAATAAAATTTCAAGGATTTTTAATATTCCATAGGAAAAGGGAATCTATGCACAGACACTGCTGAGTTCACATTTTTGGAAAATGAAATTCGTATAGTCTAAGGGTGCGACTATGCAGACGCGAGCGAATTTTCCAAGTGAGCAAGAATATGTGGCGAGAAGAGGCGAGACGCGATAAATATCAAAACCTGTCAGATATGTGCGAGAACCAGAAATTCGCTCTCGCCAGCGTTATTTCTTGCTTCTCGTTTGTGCATGGTTTTCCTTTGCGAAAACTAAATCACTCGCAACCTCTTGCTTGCTCTAACTTCGCGTCTGCATAGTCGCACCCTAATGGTAAGAAAATCAAATCATGTATTTGATTTTTTTTTTCCTGAGCATTCAGTTCTTTGTTTTCAAATACTAAAGTGTTCATTCTTATCAGAGAAACTATTGGTCAGGGGTCAGCAATATTTGAATATTCATTTAGCAGTTTGCAAAAGTCTCAAAAGCATTTGATTTTCCCACATCTATGAAAATTAAAATTCTTCACAGTAATTACCAGTTTAAATTAATAACAGTTATTTTTCTTTTTTCAATAAATAATTTCTGATTTATTATTTTATTTGTAATCAATACAAATTGTCAGTTTCAAAACTTTTTATTAAGGTAAAAATAATTTTGCAATTAAAATAAATTGGGAACTGCTGTTTTAAAGTGATATTAACAATTTTTAAATAAAATTACATGTTTTCCAATTATATGAAATAATATATTTATAGTTCTTATACATTATTTCATATATATAATATTTATTCGTTTATTTGTATTTTCAGTTGTTTGAGAAAGAAATAAGTAAAGAATTCAGTGATGTTCCCTTAAATTTTGAAAAACCACTTGGACTATTCAAAGGGACAGAAGTTTTTATGTTTTGAGTAACTTATTTGTTGAATTATTTATATAAATTTTATACAAAACTGTTAAAAAATAAAAATATTTTGAAAATGCATTGTTAATAATGTATCACTGGATGTAGTGGATTTATGAACAATACCACGTAGATATACAGATGACGGGGCAGTTTGAAAAATTAGCGATATGTATCAAATTACTAAATTAGCTATTGAAAATAATAGGAACAAAGATGGCTATTTTCGAAATTTTGGATTGGCAAGAATATTTAAAAAATTCACCGATGTTTGAATGTATTTGTAAGGGTTTGCTTTGACATTAGTGAAATTTTATTTTTTGTGCTTTGTATGGATACGAAGTTAAGTGTTTTAGTAAGTTTGCAGATGTGAATGATGATGATGGGGTCATAACAGAGCTATAGATCATGCCCATAGGAACAAAAAGTCTAAAGGAACTATACCTTCACGTGATATAGTCCTCCGAAATTAGCCTACTTTCGGGAGTCATGCACACTCCACTAAGTTTATCGCATGTTTAAAAGACACCCAACACTGGTCAGACATTCTAACGATATTTATTGGTAAAGAATTAAGAGTATGACATGCGACCCTTCCCAAGATATTCGCCTCCAAATGTGAAACCCCAATAGCGATAGTTCGGTCGTCATTTTGCTTGCGAACGTTACGTTTGCAAGAGTGTTATAAGCAGGGCAACCAGCTCCATTAATAATATAAAACTTCTATTTTTAATAAAAACTCATAACACTCGAAAAATTTATGCAACTCTCATTGCTGGATTCTTTTTCGATATGCTAGTTTATGGATGTGTGTGGGATGCAGGATTTTATTCACCCAATTTGAAAGCTTAATAACTCTTGTGCCTTTTGCAGAAAATTTCTTAACGACACTCTAGTTAATTAGGTTGGAAATCAATTATTTCTGAGTTATATTTTCATTGTCTGGGATGTTTTTATAATTTTTATACAATTAATAGGTTTTTATATTTCATATTTAATAATAACTTAAAAGTCTATAGGCCGATATAAAAGCTAGCAGATTAGCCCAGCGTAGGTCAGTTAAAACATCAACAGCAAACATTAAGATTATTATATCATTTTGTATTTCTAACCTGTAAACACTATCATATTATAGTGTGTAGTTTATTTAATTTGTCTTTTTTTCATTTCTTTGGATGCTAATTAGAGTATTTTCTTATGTGCATAGAAATACGTTCGATATTTCGCAAAAACCCAAATAACTTCTAAAATGGTACAGTAGAAAGCGACTTTCTCAAGGTATTTTTTAACTGTCTATCTCCATTCCGCCAGGTGAATTTTTTAAAAAACCGTTTATAGTTTGCATTCTCATGGCGTACCCTAACTGTATACCAAATTTCAACTTTTAACTCCTAATCGTTTTTGCTCTGGGTTTATTATCATCATTATCATTATATCAACCCATTTCGATTATATTAGATTTGCTAACAGGTGGGTCTATGTCTTTTAACTGTATCCGGGAAAAGCACGCAACTCTATGCAGGATATTTCGATGTTTTACTTATGTGGATCAGTGTTTAACTTTACTTGGACTCAAATTATTTAGATTCAGATTATCTTTATTAGATAATATACCTTGTGGTACATTCCCGGTGCCGCTCTAGCATAACCGGGTATAAACAAAATATTTACAATGTATTATACAGATGAAATACTGTAAGATCTCGTTTTATGCGGTGGATACGTTCTACAGAAAAGCGCATTAAAAAAATTCGCATAAAAAAAGACTTTACTTGCCTTGAAAAAGTAGGGATACGTTCCGTAATTTTCTAAAATCGCATAAAACCAAAACAACGAATTAAAATTAACTTAAAACCGTATAAAAAAAAGTTTGCAGAAATTAAAAGAAATAGGCTGCTTAATAAATTACTTCGAATGTCTGAAAGAAATTCATATAAAAGCTTAAAATAAACTTGTATTCAAACTTAATTCAGTTAATTTTATTGAAAAGTAATATAGTTTTATTTTTTTTTTGAATTTTTGGAATGTTTTTTAAGTCTCCAAATTTTTTAAAAATATTAAAAAATATACGGCCAGCTAGTGTTCACCCTACTTTAAACCCTTGTCCTCCCGCGACGTTTATGAGAATGCCCCGGGAAATCCAACTCCAGCTGTGTTCAAGGTCATCCAGATGTATAAACTGACTCATCGGTGTTAAATTTCACAGAAGGGCAAGACAAAGGAAGTTAAACTTTGAAGCTTTTTCTTCAAAATTAACGCATTTCTTTCGTTTTTTTTCAGTTTTAAGTATTTTTTATGTTTAATTACATTTATATCAAAAATTGCTAGGAACTAAAGCGATTAAGGTAGATCTAGATGTCCTTTACATCCATAAACGTTATATGTCAGTGGAACAAATGGAGTGAGCTTTGAGCGTCCCACGATTTTTGGAGACTATACGCGGGCTTCCTAAACAAGCCTATATGTATGTTTGTCCAAAAAAAAATTTGGATGAAATACAAACCGCACAACTTCAAAATCGCAAAAAAAAATCCGCATAAAACGAGACCTTACAGTACATCTTTTCAATTGAAATGAATATAATAATTAATAATTAAATGCGTATACAGATAATATATATAAATATTACACGCGTACATATAAATAAATAACAAAAAAAGAACAAAAAACAAACAACCGCGAGTACAAATAATACGCACGTACAAACACTATGTTCGTAATCGTATGCTTAAAGATTAAAAATCTAATATCCACATGAGCACATCAAATGCTATCAAGTACAGTCAATTTCACGAAGAATTCATGTAAAAATACAATATAATAATTACTTAGACTTGGACTAGTGAATTTGTTTAAATCGTTTCATTATACTTCGTATATAATTGTTTCGTATTGTTTAATTTTTCTTTTATTTGTGGCCCTTATGCCAAAGTGGTATTTTTGATATGCAGCAACTGACATAGTTGCTGCCCACCAAAAATGTGTAATGTTTTCGTGTTAAATATCAAAATAGTAGAAGCCCGGAACGCCCCCTAGTGGGCGTTCTTTACAAAATTCCCATGAGGCACGGTTCCTTTAACTTTTTTGTTCCTATCACGTTCTACAGCTCTGTTAAAGTCCCAATCGCGTCATACGGATCTATATTTCTATCTATTAAACATTCTAAAAAACTTTAAAATAGTTTAATTTGTTTATTTACCTTCGCTTGTAAACATCGATTTTAAATGTATCCGCCAATTTTACAACAAATTTCCCGTGAGTCAATGCGCGACGTTCACTGACTTTTGAGTCACAGCATGTTGTAAACATGCGGCGCAAGGTTAATCTAGGCATAAAATAAGGCAAGAAAAGGCATATAATAATTATTTATACCATTCCGTGGAAAAATAATAAATAAAAATCAATAATAAATTTGTACTACAAATAAAAATAATTTATTGTTAATTTAAAATCATCGCTAGCGCACCTCTAGTGCCCGTTTTTGGCATACCGTTACGCATTACTGACATGCGTTCAATAGGTTGTATAGATAGATACTGTAATTATATAATTTACTATAAAGAATCCAATTAAAATTATATTATCAAAAGTAAGATAACAAATAAATATCGTATATAATTATCTATTATTGATTTATTTTAAAATGTAAAATTATAAATAAAATTAGAACTTACCTGAGATAATGTTAATAATGTTAATTGAATTTTTAATATTGAATGTGCTGTTCTATATTTAATTTGCATTTATTGATTAATTTATGCTCAATTATTTTGTACAATTGCAAGCTGATTATTCAGACGATTAACTGCAATAATATCCCTAAAACGAAAAGCCAGAAATCCTGAAGCACCGAAAAAAATAACTTTTAATAAGTATATGGAAATACTGTGTTCTGAAAAAAATGTCTCGTCCGAGGGATACCACCTCTTACTCGTCGCCGGCCATTCTCGGCCACAGCGACACTCTGATATTCAATGTCCGA